TGGCGTTCGGTTCGTGCATATTCGATCATTCCCGTTCTCTTACACATCATCGACAACCCTTCATTTCTCCTCCCCCTTCCCGCTTATCTTCTCCCCTCTCACATGTCGTCCCCTCCCTCCGTTACAAACTTCGTATCAAACCCTTACTCACCTGATCAATTCCTCCCTCCTTCCACCTCTCTTCCACTCCTTCTTGACTCACTTCTTCCCTCCTTCCCTCCCCCTCTCCCTCCCTTGTTTCTCCAGCTATGATTCTCTCCCTGGCCGCAGCAGCAGCCATGAGTAGCGGCGGCAGCAGCAGCCTCAACTCCTCCTCCCCCCTCGACCCCTTCGACTCCTCCACCTCCTGGAGTCTAGCCGAGGACCCTTCTAACTCCTCCTCCGAGCCCGTCGTGCGAACGCTGACCCCTGACCTCCAGCCAGCGACTAACGCTGTAGCTGTCCAGGAAGTCAGCCCCTGGGATATCGCGCTCTGTGTGACCGGGACTCTCATCTCCTGCGAGAACGCTCTGGTGATCGCCGTGCTGTTCTACACGCCAACGCTCCGCGCGCCGATGTTCATCCTGATCGGATCGTTGGCGGTGGCCGATCTCCTCGCCGGCCTGGGCCTCATCTTGAACTTTGTCTTCACCTATTTGGTGGACAGCTCGGTGGAGTTTGTGACGCTGCTGTCGGTCGGACTGCTCATCTCGGCCTTCTCGGCGTCCGTCCTCAACATCCTCGCCATCACAGTGGACCGCTACCTGTCGCTGTACAACGCCCTGACCTACCACACCGAACGGACAGTCACCTTCACCTACGTGATGGTGGTCTTCATCTGGGTGTTGTGCCTCACGCTCGGCCTGCTGCCGGCGCTCGGCTGGAACTGTCTGAGGGACGAGTCCTCGTGCAGCATCTGCCGGCCCGTCACCAAAAACAACGCCGTGGCGCTCGCCGTCACCTTCCTGCTCGTCTTTGCCCTGATGATGCAGCTCTACCTGCAAATCTGCAAGATCGCCTTCCGCCACGCGCAGCAGATCGCCGTGCAGCACCAGTTCGTGGCCATCTCCACCACCAAAGGCGTCTCTACACTGTCGGCCATTCTGTGTGCCTTCGGGGCGTGCTGGCTGCCGTTCGCCATGTACTCAATCGTGGCCGACTCCAGCTACCCCGTCATATACACCTACGCCACGGTCCTCCCGGCCACCTGCTGCTCTGTGATCAACCCCATCATCTATGCGTTCCGAAACCCGGACATCCAGAAGTCGCTGTGGATGGCGTGCTGTGGCTGTGTCCCGTCCAACCTCTCCCTCCGACCCAGGACCTCCAGCGACGTGTAGCAAGGGAGGATGGTTTCTGTCTGGCATGATGCTTTGACGCTGAGTCAGGGTTGTAGGAGGGACAGGACGAAACGGTGACCGAGAGGAGAAAAGGTTGAAGGTCGTGGCTGAGGAAACAGATTTCCTCTACTCTTCGTAGGCTGATGGCGAACGCACAGCTGGCCGCCGTAAAAGTGGCACTTGCACAGGGAGAAGGGAGAACAGTGCATGGTCAAAAAAAACAAACAAAGAAAAACAAAGAAAAAGAAACAAGATAGAGCTAATAAAGATCATGTCCTGTCTGTGGCTTGGAGACAAACCAACAGAGCGATGGCGGAGGTGGCGTGAAACCAACTGCAAAAACCTGATCAAGGTACGGTGGTTGCTGGGGAGTGGCGGGGGGGGGAGTGTGTCAGGTGACTTTTTCCCAACTGACCTCCTTCAGGGCACGAGAAGCGAAGCCCGCTTCTCGAGAGTAGCATACGTATGTGACGGCGGGATTTAGGAAGGCCTAAAACCTCCGTAGGACCTGAGCTCGGGCAGCACTGCATGGTTATGCAATCAGAAGGAGTGAAACAGTCTTAAAATACTGTATGTGTGTGTCCACTGATGTGTTTGAAATTAAGTGGTGTGTGGATAAAAATACAATGAGCTAAATATACACAACGAATGACCTTGAGTATTCTCAATGAGCTATCTTTGCAGTCTTCTCCCCCCGACAGGAAAAACAAGAATATTTCTTCCCTTGAAATGTATTTTGTTCCCTTGATCTGATGCAGATTAAGTAATTAATGAGTTTGTAGACAAGAGTGCGCAACAATAATTAACTGTTATGTGCTGGAATTGAAATTAGATGGTGTTTCACGATCGCTACCGAGCCCATTCTGTCTTTTCCCAATGCCAACAGCACAGTGTGCAAGGGAACACGTTTTTAGGGGTGCACGAAGTCGGCGAAAAACGTGTCAGGATTCAGAGTGAAAACAAACTCCTAATCACAAACCATCCCTCCTCAAACATTCAAATCCATCTACCAGGCTCCTAATGCATAGATAACCCCCCCCGCTAGTCTGCAAAACCTAGAGAGGGATTTCCATATTTAGGCCGGCGTGTGTTGTCCTTGCCGTGATGGAATCAAATCTGCTCCCTGTTGGAGAGAAAAAAAAAACAAAAACGGGTTTCTCAGCCAGCCGCTGCGCCGTGACTGTGAAGCAGAGAGAGCTGAATTCAGCACCAAGGACAGCGCCACTGCAGAGCGCCGCTACCCTGGGAATGCTCTCTGCTGCGGGGGGGAAGAGAGTGCTGTAAAGTAGGCTATGCTGTTCTCTACACCATCTTGATGTGGGGGGTGTGAGGCGGGCTTTAAAAGGGCCATTCCAGCTCCATTGGAGTTTCTTTTGCTCGTTTGCAACCCATTCAGTGGTAATTGACAGTGTTCTCATGCATACCTGATGGCTAAAGGTGTTTTAAAACCCTTTTAGCTCTAACTTTCAGGGTCATTCGTCTGGAAAGACAAAGAAACAGCATTTATTAGAGTTTACTGCTTGAGAGCAAGACCACCAGGGGCTAATGTCAAGAAACAAAACTCCAGTAAGTGTTTGTAAAAAGCAAAAAAAAAGGGGCTTTCACTAGCTATCATTTGTGAAATCTTACATATTTGTGGCTGATTGTTGACTTAAAAAACAGTCAGCATGTAAGCAAAAATTACATAAAAACTCAAAATCATTCTACAATTAAGTTTTAAAAAAAGCAAGAAACCACAGAAACTGACTCCAATCACGCTCAAATCGTGCTCAAACATCCACTGTGGTCCTATAGTGCGACTATGACCCTGTCCTTTCTGTCATCCCACCGTTCTCTCGCCCTCTCTTGCATCTCAGCAGCAGAAATTATGCATGAGGAAAAGCAGTGTATGGCCCCGCGCGTGCCAGTAAAACAAGTCTTCTGACACGGGCAAGGTGAAGGCGGCTGATGTTTTTCAGAGGCAATAGGGGACCTCGATGTTTAACTGCATCCGCACGCCACCGCTTAGGGCCACGCACAGCTCTAAATCAACAGACAGCATTCTAACTCTATTGTCCGATTGATTATCCATTAGCTAGAGCTGAGCATGATCCTAATTGAAAAGGTCATTTTTCATCTAGACGGCTTTGGTCGGCTACAGTACATATTGCCGTCGCTCTCCAAAAAACTACTTTTACATCCTGACTTCCCGTCTTTATACTTCGTACCATTGTCGGGGAATAAATGATATTTCAGGGTAAAAGGCTATATGAGAGCAGAAATCTATAAATACGCTGTAAAAGCATCATATGGTCTAAATTCCTCTGACTTCTCTACGTTCTCTTCGTCTTCCATTTTCACCTCCCTACTTGCAGCCTGTCAGCAGTAGCTGGATATTCACTGCACACACACACACACACACACACACACACACGCCCCGCCTTGAAGAAGCAGCGGAGCTCTGCCCCCGGGGGCCCCTCTGAAGGCTCGGCGGGTTAATGAGAAGCGAGAGAGGCGAGGTGACGCGGCGTGAAATAGAAACGCCAGGCGAGACGCGCTTTAACGTCACCTCGGGTCACGTCCGCCACCACACACCCAATCAGGATGAAGTTTATTTCCCTTCCGAAAGGGCATCATGTAAGTTAAATCCAGCTAATGTTATTAACATCTCGGTAATAATGGCGCCGGGAATTGGCCTAACGTACAGAGGATGTAGTGAACACTGTGAGAGGGGATTTATTGCTAACCTCTATCTGCATTGAAATGATATACGGAGATGGTTTTCACTCTTGTGTTCCTCTGCACAACCTCAGAGAGAGGTACCATGACTAAGCTATTGGCATGCTGCTAATATACTAGTGTGGGAGGTGTACTGGCTTTGGGAAAATAGTTCATAGAAACTGTACGGGCTGTTTAAAAAAGAAAGAAAATACAGGTTGTTTCTTTAACGACAGGGAGTCACTTCCAAATTCAACGCTTTCTACCAAATAAACCACGACGATAGACGACAGCAAAGAACACATATACACAGAGAAACTTTGAAAATGGCGCTCAGGAGACGCAGGTATTAAGATCATCGTTTTTTTCTATAGTGTAAATTCAATCTTAGAGTAGAGGTGTTTTCTATTTTTCTTGGCAGCAGCAAACAATCAGTTGTTAGCAGAACAACAAGCTACACCACTCTGTCAACGACCTGTGTTTGAAAAAGGCAGACTCTCTCGTGTCTTTCGGTTTTTGGCCTTATTGGAACAAAAACTCCTTCGCAATAATGTCCAACTGTATTTTGCTGTGTACAAAAAAAAAAAAAAAAAAAAGCCACAATGGAGAGAAAGAGAGAGAACAGGCAGACGAGAGGTGGTGGGATCTGAGCGGTCTGCGGAGTAACTCGAACTAAATATCTCAAAGCAACAAATAGCACATTGTGTTTGTAAGAAATACGGCCTGGCTGGCCGGGGTTCTCCAAAACACATTCAGCAGTAGTGAATCATGGAAGTAGGACAAACCTAAATAGGAAGCTCTATTTCCATTTATAGGTTGTGCAGACATCTTGCAATATTATTTATTTTTCTCCCTAAAATTAGCTTTATTTTCATGTTCGCAGTCAACAACGACGACGGCGATTATCTGAAGGTTAAACAGGTCGACCGCCTCTTTCTGTCGCTCTCTCTTTTTGCTCGATCACTGCATTGATGGAACTGCCTGATGGTAAAAGACTTGCATCAATTATTAAGTGAAATACTTTGAATTACTCTGAGGCTGGAGGCATGAGATGGATGGAGTTTGGTACTTTTGACTAGAGAGATCCCAGAGAGTTAATTAAATCCATTTCACATAGGAATCTGATGCAGATCCTGTTGGCACACTGTTCTCCTGTATGCACAATGATGTGTGAGACTTGCTTTGTCACCTGTGTTTGGAGATGCTAGATGGGACACGCAAACAAGATTAACATTTTAGGTGAGCTCAGCGCCGCATCCGGTACAGTCGCTCACCGTTACCGTGGTTCCTCTGTTTTACCTCCCTGTTAAAAATGAATCAAACTAAATTAGGATCATGAACCAGACTTGGATTTTGGCATTTCAGGCTGGAGCAACACCAAAGAAGCCTGTGAAATCCTGGAGGGTTATTGTGGCCGACTAGTGCTATCATGTTGCCGGCTGGTTAGCATGTTAGCGGTTAGCTCACCAAGCTTCTAGAAAACTGTAATGGCATTTCAGGTGAAATGAGTTTAAAATTTTATTTATTATATTAATTATTTATTTATTTGTCCGTTTGTCTCAGTTTCACAAGCCGTTGTGGATAGATAAATGTTTTTTGGAAATAAAAAGCCACCTTTACACTTTTTGGGAGATTCTTTTGGCCTTTTGGCCTTTAGCAGTAAAATGTCAACTATTTTTCATTTTTCCAGGGTAAAAAAACCCTCTATTTGATCCAAGTCTGGAGGGAGTCACGAGCCCCAAAAGTAAAACCACAAATCAGCCGTTTCATGACGGAAATGTTAAATCCAGCGTTGCCCAGCTGGAACTCACCGAACAGCTGACATGAAGTCGGTATTTTAAACTCTGACGGTCCCATCTGGCATGTCCATCTAGTGATTGTTTTAACAATTAATAACACTCATCTGTGAATATGCCACCACTCAGTCAACCATTACTGGGGCAGGAGTGGAGCGACCACTCACTGTGTGTGTGAGTGTGTGTGTAAATGTGTGTGTGTGTGAGTGTGTGTGTGTCCCCCCCCCCGGGATCATAGCCAATTGTAATGAACCATAACTCAAACCAACGCTCACTGTAAACACAAACACACGCAGAATGGTTTTGTCAGCCGCTATACAGGACTAAAATTCAACTTTAAAAAAAAAAGAAAAAAAGAAAAAGAAATACCGTACAAGTGAGTGTGTGTGTTATTTTTATTATGCAATGCTGTACAGAAATGTATATTTTTGTAATGTTCATCAGGGCATGAGTTACAAGACATGGTCGCTGTGAGCATGTTGTGAGCGTGTGCGTGCGCGTGTGTTTCTTCCTCTTCTTCTGTGTTCTTCCTATAAACAAATGTTTCTTTAGGAGGGTGGGGGGCGCGGGGAAAAAGAAGTTGTGTGTCGGATATGCTGAAAAAGTGCCATATTTTTCGACTTTCTAGTGTCTTATTTGTTTTGGGTTTGTGTACATACACGTTTATCCGAGGGCGATTCTCGTGGCGGAATCGGAAGGGGTCGAGGTTCGAGTCTGCAAACAGAAGACAGCAGTGGTCACAAGCAGCAACCGTGAGCAGCAGGGTAAAGGAAGGAAAAACTGGCTGTTATGTGAAAGGACTTGACCTTGATAATATTGATCACTGTACTGAGCAAACAGCAGAAAATTCACCAATCTAAAACTCTTTATTTCTCTCTGTAACGTCAGACTTTTTTCTGGTTTTTCGGGCTGCAGCAACAACATGGGAGATGATATCAGTGTTTCTGTAAAACGTCTTCTTGACTTAAATCGTTTTTTCCATGAAAAGACAAGCACTAAGCGACAGACAGACAGACAGAGAGACAGATCGAGAGAGAGACTGTGCGTGACAGCGTTGTACGTCACAGAATCAGGTTTCCAGTGACGTCATTTTGTCTGAGTCGTGTCTAAAAGAGCAGGTCGTTTCAAAGACATCCCCCTCTCTTCCTCTTCCTTTCAAAAACGTCCCCCTCACTCCTTCCTCCCACTCGTCGTCCTCATCCCTTCAACGGCAACTGCCTCTTTTCCCCTCTTCATCCGTTCAGACATCTCCCTCTTGTCCTCTCTTGCGGGTTTCAGACGTGCCCCCTCTTTCGTTCCCCATCACTTGTCTACCATCATCGTCGCGTCATCTCTTTCTTTTCAGACATCCCCTCCGTCCATCGTTTGCCACACCTTTATCTCTTCTTTTTTTTTTTACCTCTTCTCCCCTCCCCTCACTCTGTCTCTTTCTCTTGTCTAACATCCTTGGCCTGCAGGAAGCTAGTCGGTCAGGCTCCATCTAAAAATAGTTACCCTGAAAGCAGATAAAAAGAGTGGGAAAAAAAGAACAGCAGGAAAAAAAGGAAAAGGAAAAAGGGAGGGAGGTAGTAAAGAAGTAGAAATCGACCCTCCCTCCCTGAGCGCAAACATTCACTTTGCCTCAGTAGACAGAAACATCCACTTCATCCTTTTTTTACCTCCTCCTTCCACTCTTGTCTCATCTCCTTTGCACACATTCATCTTCATCTATTTTTGTACCACTCCTTATCCATCCTCTCTCTTTTTTTTTTTGTCTCTTCTGAGCACAAGCGTTAACACAAGGGTTTTTAAAAGAAAAAGCAGGGTCCGAGGCGGGTGCCCACAGCAAATAAGCAGCACCGCCCCATCCCACCCCCTACCCCTCTACCGTCGGTCAGTCAGGCTAGGCTAACGTTTTCCCTCTGTAACCTACAACCTGGCAACACTTCAGGCAAGCAGAGATTGTCAATCAAAAAAAAAAAAAAAAAAAACCATTACAGAGCTAATTTTTCTATCGGACCGAGTATGGCCTTCATAGAAAAACATTGTTTTATGCATCGATATTGTTGGTGTGGATGAGGAAGCAGCAGCGTGTGCACGAGCATCACAGGTTTTAAACCCTCACGGCGAGGAGGGCGCTATTGGGTAACGATACTGTGATGTCAGAGAACTAAAGCGGTGTCGTTGAATCATGTTTATTTTTATTTATTCTTACTTTTTCTGTATTTTCTTTCATTTTTCCTCTTGAGTTTGTGTTGTGAAACAAAGCCGGTTACGATAAAAAGTACAAATGCACTTTATAAGATGGACATGTTACACATTGCACTTGTAAATGTCGAATGTAAAACCTTGAAGAGAAAGATTTATTTTTACTATTGTAAATAAATGAGAAAGAAAAAAAAATTAAAAAAAAGACTGCAAAAAAAAAAATAAAGTGGAGAATAATTTGCCAAATAAACTGAGAACAACAAAATAATAAAGTTCTAACGTGTTTTTCTGTGTGCTGGAATGGAGTCGATCCAGTGACGTCAGCGCATGTGTGTGTGTGTGTGTGTGTGTGTGTGCTTTTGTGGGTGTGTTGGTGGATGTTTGCGTGACATTATTTGTGTGTGGGTGTTATTACGAGTGTGTGTGAGTCAATATCGCAGGTCGCTGGAGTGTTAAGGAAAGCCTGGGCATAAAAAGAGATGCTGCTGAATTATTAAACCACTCCCTGCTTGCATAACAGCAGAAAAAAATGGCGAAACACAGAGTGAGAAGAGGGAAAGAGAGAGATGAGGAAGAAGAGGAGGAGGAGGAGGAGGAGGAGGAGGAGGAGGAAGAGGGAGAGTCCAATCGCAGAAAGGTGAGACACACGTGCACGGACACAAACGTACATATGGGAAACAGAAGAAGCCCAGAAGGAGAGAGGGAAAGGAAAGGTGCAAAGAAATGTTCTCCGAGGGACAACTAGAGCTGTAGTGAGGGCACTGTTTGTTTGTGTGTGTGTGTGTGTGTGTGTGTGTGTGTGAGGGTGGGGTAATGGGACACACACTAACACTAAAGCTTCTTAAACAAAAAATTTTCAAAAAAGCAGCAGGAGATTTCAGTCACCCAAATCTCTGACGCAGGTGAGTGTGTGAGAGAATTTAACCTTTAACCAATCAAATGTGCTTGTATGTCAATGAAAGTGTGAACTGCAAGAGTGTACGAGACAGTGTGTGTGTGTGTTGTGTGTGTGTGTGTGTGTGTGCGTGCACTGTTCAGCTCCTTGACTCACCTCTACCCGGTCTCTACATGGAGGGGAAGAGCTCCATCATGTGGCCATGTGGGAGTGCTGCAAAGACAGGAGACAAGGGAAAAGACGCAGCATCCACCCACCCACACACACCACACACACACACACACACACACACACACACACACCTCACTTCTTTTACGTCATTACAGCAGCTCTCTCAAAGCCAGCAAGCACGAAGCCAACCCTCTCTCCCTTTTTCCAACCTTACTGTCTCTATCTTCCTCTACCCACCCAATATATTCACTCTATCCCTCTCCCACCCCCCCTGTCTGTCTCTCTCTCTCTCTTTCTGTATGAGTCAGAAGGCTCTCTCCACCATCTGCTGCAGGATGCTGCAAATCACCTCCGTGTACGTGCATGTGTTTGAGAGGGGGAGGAAAAAAAAAAAAAGAGCACAGAAGGTGGTGATATGCCTGCATCTGTTGTGTCTGACTCACACACACCTCTTCACCCAGATTTAAAATTTTAATGACCGTTTGATTGAAACCTGTGAAGATTATTTCCTCCATGTGGCCAGGAAATGATCCATGAGAGCGCTTCATGGGCACCGGACATTATTATTAGCACATAATCGACCTGGCGTGTTCAAAGCTTTCCAGGAGTTATTTTAAATGTTGACCGGTGACTGTAATGTGATGTCCTACATTTCCCAGAATCTCTTGACAACACATTGAGAGACTGCCAGCTGTGGGTTTTACTGCTGGGAAGGTAGATTTAATAGAAAATACGACCTTTATTAAGTTAAGAATGAAAAATACTGCTACTATGACACGCAAAGACAATCACCTTTACAATCACATAGAAGGGATTTAGTACACATGACAAGGTTTTCTGTCAAACTACACATCGACAGCACATACTAAAGACCTCTCAGAGAAACTAAACAGCATCTTAAGACGTCCACCTGCTGCCTTGATGCTCTGCCAAGAAGCTTCCTTAAAAAGGTTTTCAGCTCGTTGGCAACAGTCTTGCCGCAATTAGTCAACCATGTCTCCTCTCGTTATTTAACTTCCCTAATGTTATGAGAAGCAACGCCATCAAGCCAAAAAACAGTGGCTGATCTTATGTGATAAGCGACAGACCTACTCTGTACTCTCTTATTGTAACTCAAATTGTAACTCTGTTCAGATAAACTGATTTGGGCAAAATTTCAGTCCTTCAATCAGATATTTCTGGTGCCTTTAACATAGCTGACCTAGTCTCGCCATACCAGACGATCGGAGAACTCATCGCCTACCAATCATCTGGGGATTTCTAAAAGCAAAGTAGTCGCTTGAACGGCGATGAGAATGACTGCAAACAAGCGTATGCCCCTGACTTCAAGGACACACCTTACCTGAAACAATGCTTCTCTCCCATTTTCCTCCATAGTGAAACACACTGGAGATGTAGCTAATTACTTTGTAACACGGAGAGAGCTTTTTAAAACGTTGAAAATGGATGTCATGATGTCATTTGGATTGGTTCTGCAATGCAGGTTTTTTTTAAACTAATTGTTTTCACCCAGTTTTAGCATCAAAAGCTGAAACAAAGTCCTCAGTGTTTAGAAACTGACTTGTGAGTCTGTGGCTGAAGAGTCCTGGCTGAGGACTATCAGACGTAAAATGGTAAATGGACTGTACTTGTATAGCGCCTTTCTGGCCTTCTTTTACACTACATGCCACATTCATCCACTCACACACATTCATACATTGAAAACCCATCACAAACCAACATTCATCTACATTCATACACCGATGTATAGCATCGGGAGCAATTTGGGGTTCAGTATCTTGTTTAAGGACTGTTCGACATGCAGCAGGAGGACCTCTTGAGCTACAGCCACCCATATAAAATTGCGGTAACTCTCCCATCTCTATGGCAGTGATTCGGCATGTGGAGTTCCCCAGGACTCAATGTTTTAACCTCTTATATTTAGCCTTTACATGCTTCTATTAAGCCACATTATGCCAAATAATAAACTGAACAATCATAATTATGCCGATGACACGTTATTCTGTCAGAAAGAGAGAACTCAGTGCTTATCTTGATAGTTGTGTCCTTGAAAACCAAAATTCAAGCCAGAAATCTTGGTGCAGTCATGGATCTAAATTGAGTCATACTTCACAACTTACCTCCCTGTGGTCTTGAATTGCTTTAGTTGAGTCATAGGCTTTCAGCCCTAGCTCTGGAAACAGCACACTGGGATAATGGTTTGGCAATATGTTCTCCACCATCTCTTCCTTGAAAATAGTGTCTTGCGGCACTATAAAATAAGTCCTTGAGGTATGTATACAAGTCACGTGGGGTCACTTGCGTAGTTGTGACATAATAGTGGATCCACTGTATTCTCAGCACAGCAATCTACGACAGGATCTTGTCCTTCTGCAGTATCTGCAGGATTCACTGCAACAAAAGCAGTTCCTGTCAACACTGGAAAGAGAACAGCTCAGTCTTGACATGGCCATTTGTAAATCTCTTTAAGAAGTGTTCAATATACTTACGTTATTGTATATAAATAAATAAATAATAGAAACTGAATTCACTCAATATGGCAAGGCCAGTAGCTATTTCAAATACTGTTAAAGAGTTTTTAATTTAAATATTTCTTAAAATAAATAACATTATTACATAAGGGGCTGTACTGGTGATTTGACAGAGGCTAATAAGGTTATTGAATGTACACTGTGATGTACAACAAGATAGTTAAAGGTCTCCACAGGTTAATTTTCATAGTGTAGTTGTCTAAAATTAATAGTAACCATAGAGAAATCAATTTACCAGTTTGTATGCTTCGTTAAAAAGGTCACGAGTAGTTTACTTGCCATTTATTAAGCGACATGTCAAACCACTGGCATGATCTTATAATTATTCAAGTCAACACTGGATGCACTCTGTGACTCATGTCACTGCTACTGCTACCAGCTTAATACACATTTTTGCCTGATATCAATATATAAAAGTAGGTGACATTTTAGTCAATGAATATCTTATTTATCTCTTCACAGGAAAATCAAATATCTGGACTCAAATGGGAGTCATCTTGAAAATTGGTTGCATGCACCCCATACAACATCAGATAAATCGAGTGCATCTTGTATTTAAATAGGCTCATCTAAAGTCTTTGATTCCAGAAATAGGTCCAGACTAAAATTAGACACTAGCAGGAAAGAAGGATGCAAGAAAAATGTGGTCACTGTCACCTGAAAAATTTAGTTTCTTTAAACTGAGTCGTCTGCATTTTTTTGAGGAACACATATTTTCTCACCATTATGTGTGTCTGTGGTGGTGTTTTTGTATTTTCCACTGACCTCTCTCTCGAATTCTCTCTGCTGTGTCACCATCTGTGTCCCAAAATGACTCCTCTCTCCCAAACAGCACCCTGCCAAGGCCCAGAACAGCACGGTGCTGGAACGAACCATGTTGACACTGGTGGGCGTGTCGCAGCGCTGAGAAAATGGAGCGCTGATTGCTGGATTTACGTCATCGTTATGAGATGACTGACACTGTTGAACAAATGTTACCATTTTAAGTCTTCAAGTGAGAAGGGTTGGTAATTTGTCTTCCAAGAAAATCTATATATACACACATAATCTAATAAGCAGTGCGTTATGATGATATTGAAGAACTGATGCTTTTTATGGGAAATTATCATATCCTGTGTGTTTGTAAATGAGATTAGTGTTCAAGTATTTAGTCTCTTCTATAAATATAGTCCCCTAGCTATGTTCTATGAGGAATCTTGATGTGTTAGGCTACGTTCACACTGCAATCTTTAGCACTCGTTCTGATTTATTGCTCAGATCAGATTTTTTGGTGTTTGGCAATTCACATTATTTTTAAAAACTGGCCCTTGTAAAGTATTACCAATTATTGGTCTAAGGAAGTACCTCACTTCTAATATGGAAATTTCGCATACGAAGTAAACACAACTGTCCCAACTTTGGCAGAAATAGTGTGTTAATTAAGGATCCTCATTGTGCATAGGAAGGAGAAATGTGTTTGAATTATTTTTTTGTGATTAGCAAAATAAACATGCATTCGCTCTTGGCATCAGTTCAGTGATTACATGGGCAAGGAGCATGTCTAATTCTTTCAGAAAGAAAGAGTTCTGTACCAGCATGCAGGCAAATTTCTGGAAACTGTACGATTCTACAATCAGATGAGCTCAAAAAGCTTATTGAGGAGAGATTTTTAAACATGGATCAATACGAAAAAGTGTCACACGTATGTCGACGACATACAAACACTTATCTAAGCTTTAAAGTGCTGAGATGTGTCACAGACTATATAACTATTAACAACCTAAAAGAAAGGAAATTATGATTCAGTGGTTTGCAAATGTTAACATCACAACCTTAAGTCTATGTTATGCACATGATGATTTATGACTAATATATTAAATGTAAAAAAACACAGGATAACAATTTTGTTCACCATTTATTGTCTATAGTTACATGCATACTTGCTTACAGTTGGTTTTAGTGTGCAATACACAGTTTTATTTTGTTTCATTGTCTATGTTATATAACCCCAAATGTATTTTACTTTACAGGCTGCCTTACCAAAAGTCTATACAACATGATTCATTTCTCACATTTTCAACACATAATGAAGTATTCTCACAAGCCAGTAGCCATAGATAACACAAGGTACGATTGATTTGAAATCTCGGCCTTTGGTGGCTTTGCTGAAAAGACTTTTGATGTATTCAGTCTCACGTATTTGGTAATTGTGGGTCAGTATTTCCAATCTGGAACCAGCACATCCAACAAGACGAGATTTTACAGTCACAGATTTACATTCTACGACGCTGAAAAGGTCACGAAGTGCTGCGGATCTGTAAATGCCTTCCACGTATCAGTCAATGCATCTATGGCTCTTTTTGAGTTAAATTTGGCCCCAGGTCTATGGCAGATCCATATTCTAGCTGTTCAATGTGCTTTTTTTTGTTATAATAATGTCAGTAAATGTAGGTTTTGCCGTAGTTGGTTAAATGCTGCACCAAACAATCGGGGAGGACAACCGAGAACCCATCGACAGTCCATCCGTCGTCCAGTCCTTGATCCAGCTGTAATTTGTATTCTCCAGCAGAGTGCAGCTATTGAGTGAGCCGTTTCCTCGACTATCACGTGGTATCTATATACAACAAAAGAACTTCTTCTGAGCCCTATCACTTGTTTTTTTCTATAATAAACCAATACGGTAACCTGTGCAACAACTACGCAGTCAAAACAGTCTCAGATATATGACGGACACCTGATCTCTCAGGTGGTTTAGTTTCGTCATTTTCATCTATTAGATTTAATAATAAACACAGATTTTGGTGATTTGCAAAAGACATTTAAATGTCTAGGTCTACATTGTGATGTTTTTATAGACATCAAGACTACATATAGCTTGTTTTATCAGGATTTTCCTTATTATTTCAATGTGAAGCTGGTCCTAACTACACAGTGTAGTCTGTTTGTTGCTTTTCTGATTAAGTGCTAATATTCACTTTATAAGTGAGTTGAAGGTAAACAGTGCAACTGAGCTTTTTAGTGGGACCGAGTTCCCAGAATATCAGAAACCGCTCCGAGTGCATGTTTTGCCCAGATCCAATTCTCTCTAGATAACATAAATGGAGAAATAGAAACTATCGCTAAAGTCCAGAAATTAAACGGTATCAGTGAATATCTTTAACATTAAAAAAGGAGGAAACTGTGCCTCGTCGGGGCAAAATTTTAAAATCGATGAGAAGTACTATGCTTCCCAGAATGCAAAAATCAAAAAAAGACCTTCAAAATCTTTAAAAATCAGGTTACTCTGGACAGGAAACTGAAACAAACACATATTGTTATTAAGAAACACACAAATCGAGCATTGAATGCTGTTTGAATCCTGTTTTTAAGCTGGTCCTTTGGCTCGAGATTAGATTAACAACAGGTGCATCTGGTAGAAACAATAAAAAAACTTTAACTGGCTTCTCTTGTTTTGTCCGCTAACCTCAATCCTGGCCTTGAGTAGAAAAAACCCTAAAATAAACCAAAGTGAACAACTCACTGCAGCACATTTTAAAAGGAAAAACCACATTATAAAAACACTACAGTCCAATCAGCTCATACTGAGGATTAGCCAAACCTATATTGAAAAGAGATAGATAATATACTGTAGATTACTGTTGCAAGTCTCTTACACGTATGTATTTATAGTCCAGGGGGCTGCGTTCACAAAGCCTCCACAGACAGCAGTGCTGACCCAGCGGTCGGCTGAGAGGTCATATGAAGGAGCGGACGCGACCTTTGACCCTGGGTCAGGATGACAAGCTTTGTGAGTGCGGCTCCAGTGTGGTTAAGTGTAGAAGCGTTTATAATAAGACCAATACCACAGCACACAGTCACTGGCTGAAATGTTAGGCTTCATGTTATGATTGACTACAAAAAGACCCAAAGTAAAAAATAAAAAAAAACCATACCAAAATAATGGCGTAAGCTCGCTCTCTTGCTTTTTCCTGTTCAATGCTGTGATATGGAGGCAGAAATGATGAGTCGTCACTAAGCTTCAACAAGAGCCGGTGGCGCTTGTTTTCCCAAATCGGTGTAAACCTGGGCGGGGTGGCGTCTTTCGTCACAGTTTCAGTGGGAGAAGTATTGTATGTTGAAATGTTTAAAAAGGTGAGAGTTCGACTACACTGGCTTTATGAGAGTTCGGCCTTCTGATTGATTTACCAAAAGAGAACCAGCATCGCTTTTTCCCTGTAGATCCTCCCGGTGTATGTTCGGTAATTATAATGCCAAGTTACAGGACATTTAACATAATGCTTTTTTCCAACAAATTGGGGGAAAAAAAAAAAGGTTTTTAAATACAATAGTCCTCACAAATAGATTAAGTTAGATTTCAAATCTTTCATTTCTTGTAAAAGATTTTCAAATATTACTCTTGTAATTGTTTTTCTTAATATATATATATATATTATATATTTATATATATATATATATATATATATATATACACATATATATTTCTTTACATTATATGTTACCTGGTTCACGGATGTCATGTTTATCTCAATGAGTTAATTTCAACAAATGATTAAATGAAAAAGTTAATGCAAAATACAAGACGTACAGAATGTTGTAAACACAGTCACTGTCCCGAAAATTTAAAAGACAAAATAGTAACTTGCTATTAGGGTTCAATTGATTTATAGGTCTTGTATTAAACTGACTAACAATCACACCTAAATTATTAATGTCACATCAGTTATAGCCGTAAAACTGGTCTGAATTTTGAACTGTTAGCAGTAGAGAATCACCAAATTAAGGATTTTTCATCAAAGTACAAAATACAGATTGGATCTTTGAGCAATTCTGGAGGATTTTATCCCAAATATATTCATTCTGTGTCTTATTGTAAATTCATTTCTTTAAATAGAATCTAAATCATTACATCTTTCACAAACCAAAAGCAGGCTATATATTCAACTGTACTGTCCTTTACACAGACATAATAATTGTGCTGATTCTATCGACTCATGTTGGTGACCAATGAGCAAAACTCTCACACCGGCAGTGTAGTCTCTTAAGGAGAGTGCGCATGTTTCATGAAACAGGCACGTCCTGGCGAGGCGGAGTGATCCTCTTAAGGAGCTATTCTTTCCCTGATGACGTGTTTTCATAAATTCCTTCTCGACATTTGGCAGATAAGTTAAGATTGCACTATAATTAGTTTTTCTTGTGCTATACCATGTGTTTTGTAAACACATTACCTCCCCCGTACTCACCGGGGGTCCACCTACCTACAAGTTTGAGAGCTCGTAATATTGCTAATTATTATCACTCAAATATGTAAGGTGGGGTGGAAACGGGCGCGATTGCTTTTCACAGCTGAGTGTTAGTGGTTAAAAATGAGCAGACGGGGGCGGGAGGGTGTTGAAATGGTGCGAATGTGATTGGCCCTGGGTGGTTACACGCACAGACCCCCTAGGGTTTCAGTTCAAGGATAGGCGTTGTCAGGGGCAACCAAGCAAACTGGAACTTCCAACCTGTTGCCGCAGAAGTGCTAAACGTTCAGGGAGGCTGCAAGTGTGTGTGTGTGAATGTATGTATGATTAATATTTTTATTTTTAAAACACCCCTTCACTTCCACCTCAGTGTCTCAATGCCCCCCCCCCCCTCCAACCTCCTATTCCCGGTCATTACCACCCACCGAGCCCCCGTCTCTTTCACGCTCTTCTTTTCTTTTTTTTTTTTTTACATATTTAGTCAGACCACTCGTTCTCGTCGAGCTCGGAGTCGTCATCGGACTCGCTGTACTCCACGGCGATGCGGCGCGAGAGGATGGTGGCCACATCGTTGCCGACGGGCTCCCTCTTCGCCTCCTGCTCCCTCTGCTCCTGCACCTTCCTCAGCTGGATGCCTGGAGGGGAGGAGGGGAGGAAGGGAGGATGTGGTGGGGAGGGAAGGAGGGACGGAGGGAGTGAGCAGGGGCATCAACGACCGGCAGAAGCTCAACAACGGCAGTCAGGTGTCATGCATGATGTTTTATAGAGTTTTAAACCCCTCAAATTTCTTTGGTAAAGCTTTATAAGGTTACTTCTGTTACTTTTATTACTTTACTTAAAGGGAAAGTAAACTCACCTTAAGTCAGTGAAAATAAAGAACCTTTGGGTATTTGAGGACACCCAAATTTGTCAATAATTACATTTTTTTAAATTATAACAAGACGTATACTTACACATGTGCCTATACCAAGGTTATTAAAGTGAACTTAAACTAAATTAAAACTAGTTTTGAAAATTATTTGAAACAATATTGTGTACTAAAATAGAAATACACAGGCAATATCTTTGGTTTTAGTCTTTAGTCAACATTTTTAAACAATAAAATCTCAACTAAAATGAGTAACTAACTGAAAATAAACTGAATTAAAAACAAAAACAAAAAACCAAACAATAAAAAAAACAAATATATGTGGTATAAACTCAATTTTTATCACTCAACTCAGAACATATACAGTATATGTAATAATAAGTATTTAATACAAATAAATATATCTATTTATATAGAGTGTTAAATATAAACTGTTTAAAACATTAACTACACACATACCTCTACGTATGGCGGCCAGCAGGTCGGAGCGGGCGTCGCTCATCGGGATCATCCCCAGCATGGTGGACTTCCTCGACGCGGGCGCCGCATCCACAGCCGACTGTCCCAAGGCGGCGTGCGGTGGCGATGGGTGAGCTTGGAGGCCTGAGGGGACTCCAGGCGGAGGAGGTGGAGGAGCGGCGGGGGGCGCACCTGACGGGGGGTGGGCTGGGGAGGGCACGTAGTTGGCCGGGGGAGGAGGAGGGGAAGGGGAGTAGGGACGGGAGAGGGTAGAGGAGATGGGCGGGACAGCGGAGGCGGCGGCGGAGGGCGGGGCGGTGGTGGAGTCGAAGGCTGTCTGGGCGGAGGGGATGGTTGGGGGAGGAGGGGGAGGGGCGGGTGGGATATAGTACTCTGGGATGGTGGAGGGCTGGCCGCTAGAGGGGGAGAAGGAGAAAAAGTGCATCAGGTTAATATAGTTTATTTCGAATATGTGATTAAGAGTAAATGTGGGACTTCATTGGTCTCACGTCACTGGTTTTTATGGGCCTCAGGCCTAGGAAAAGTCATGAAGGGACATTTTGAAAAGGTGAGTTGACTCCATTTTAAGATTCGAAGCGGCAGGCAGTTGACATTAACTTGGCCTTTACAGTTTAAACATCATGTTTCACTGCAGTCATTTAGCTATTAAGAGTACAAAAAGGTAAAAGCCAAGAGTCTGGGCTTGAAATACTGCTTAACATTCAGTTATTTTGACATTTTATGAATTCTTCCAGCTTCTTCCAACACCATCAGGACACTGGTTGCTCTCAGATTTTAACCAGAATCAACACAAAAGATTGTAGAAAAAGATACTTAATCACAAAAATAAAACCTCATCTAAATGAGTAAACCTACCCGTGCCCAGCCCGGTATTCCTTAACCGACTGCTGCCTCGGCCCGTTAACCGTTGGATCTCCACCACCCTGGACCCCGTGTCCTGATGGGGCTCTGCCCAGGGAGGCCGCGTGTCGCCCTGCCGCCGGTGGCCCTCCGGTTCCCGGGGGCTGGTTTGCCGGCCTGAGGCCCCGATCCAGTGACTGAGTCTGGGCCGCGGCGCTGAGGTGGTCCCTGGCGTGGAGGTCGGTGGGGTGGACGGCGCTGGGGGCCTGGGTGGAGGGGTGGTTGGGGCTGGCAGGGTAGGAGTCGGACGCCATTGACCTGTTGGAAGGAAGGTGAGGACATGGTTAAATGTAGAAACAAATACTAATAAAAAAAACAGAAATAACAGCTGTGACAACTTTTATTAAGTAAGTTAATATTTGCACTTCAGCAGCAGTGATCCAAATTCTCCTCAAAGTTTGATCTTTTCTTAGAAAGACTTAAAGTGTGAAAGCGTAAAATCCACATGAAATATAAATTCATATGCTCAGAATCACTTTCTCCAGAAGAGGGCAGCACAGAGCTTTAAATAATACAGCAGATAGGCCTCTCGGTTTACAAGTATGAGCTTAAATGTGTGTAATTCTTAGACTTTGAGTGCTTGTGTAAAAAAAAGCTGCACCACTATTTGCTATTTATAGCATAGCAACACTATTTATAGCTTTATAAAGCTGAGGAGAATACTGACAGTGTGTCAGTTTGTAAAATTACAGTTTGTATATCATCTCAGTGCAGAAAACCTCACCCTCAAACACCAATACTTAACACTCTGACCCAATTGTGTGAACACGTATTCTCACTCAAGTATTGTCATCCCTGTTCCCCTGAGGAGAGACGACTCCACATAAAAAACAATGACGTTTATGTGTTGTCAGGTTAGATTGTGACAAGGCAACAGGACCCTTGAGGAAAACCTCACACATATAGGGACAATGTGACTGTTTGTGTGTGTGTGTGTGTACCTGCTATCAGGGGACAGGGAGCCTTCAGAGGACATGCCATGGTAAGGGGAGGGGGTGAGCCTGGGGTCTGGTCTGAACTCTTTGTCGTAGGCCAGGACGTTCCACTCCTGGCGCCGGTTACGAGCCTTACGCACCTTCAATAAAGGTGGAAGAACAGTGAGTGAAAGTTATGGTGTTGTTAAAGCTTAGACTGAGAGGACTACAGTACATCTGTTACTGTCACTTCAGTATTCACTAGCTGTGGTCTGGATAATTACCCCAGCTGTACCTCTCCAACACCCCATTAGGGACAGTGTAAATGGGCATTGGAGAGTATCTCAATGTCTTTACTTTAGTAAATTGCTTTAATATACTTTTATTGAAGATGGTTTTAGAGTAATAAAAGTGTTCAAGTTCAATTTTTACTCATAAAAAGCAGAGTTCACGGAGTTCACTGTCCGCTCTCTTAATATCTGTGTCACATCTTCTTCAACCCCTTTGCGATTCTCTCAATTCAGCCATTAGCTAATGTGTAGCACCAGTGAGTACAGCAGTGGTGAATTAAATATAAGTCCAAATTAACTTTAGTTCATTGTTATAATGTAACTGTTAGACTTAGTTTACTTTTTATTCCTTAATGGTCTCTATTAACTATCCTAAAGCCAGCCTCTAAATTATTACACTCAGCTTAATAGAATGTCTTTAAATGCAATTAATTTAATTTGTTTAGGCAACACAAAGCATTGTCAAACATCACTTCCATTAAGCTGTTTTCAGCAGACAGGTCACAGGTAATTAACTTGGCATTTCATAATATTCGCAGCTATAGAGAAGTTCAAGCCTGCAGAGTTTATATTATATTCATTCAAATGCGAATTAGCATAAAAGCCGTTCTTTTGCCTAAATGATTATTAATATGACCAAATAATACACTGAGGTTTATGCATAATTCTCTCTCCATTTAGGGTTACTTGTAATTTGACCAGTGTTCAACCTTAAAGGACCAGTGTGTAACATTTAGGAGAATCTATTGGCAGAAACTGAATAATATCCATAGGTATGTTGTCATAAGAATGACGTTTTTATCTACAAACATCCCGGGTCGCTTCCATGGAGTCCGCTATGTTGAGCCATTATGTTTCTACAGTAACCCACAACGGACAAACCAAACAAACCCGTTCTCATTCCCAGGTCGTCATATACTACTGATGTGAGCAGTATTTATTAATTGCAGTCTGCAACTTCACCACTAGATGTCACTAAATCTCACACACTGGTCCTTTAAAAACAAGTGCACTTCCCAGGATTGCTGGGATAGTGTGCCTCTGTTCCCAGGACAGAAAATGTCTCATATTCAGGGAAAAATATGAATCCCTATTGCCAGTTTGATAATGATAACCGTGTATAAAACCTCACTGACCTTCTTCACCTCTCTGCCCGGGTCCTCAACCTGCTTCTGCTGCTCCTAGAACCGAAACAGAGGAGGACAGATAAGATAGAAGAGTGGAGAGAATCTTAATCATCGATTACTGATTCCTCTCGGGAAGAGGAAGAGAACAGGACCCCATCACCAGCTCCTTCACCATGGGGTAAATTCACCAACCACACACACATACACGCACTAGTCTACTCACCACCCAGTCACTATTACACACACACCAACAAACACTGAAAGGACGATGGACAACAGAGCCAAAAACCTCTGGGAACACAAGACAGGAACCAAACCAAACACAGAGGGTTAGAGAGAGGGTGAGGTGGCAAGCTAACGCAACGTGACAAACACAGACACAAACAGAAGGGAAGGTGTGTGTGTGTGTGTGTGTGTGTGTGTGTGACTGTGTCTTTTAATATTACAGAAATACAACCACTTGCTTGTCTTTTGTGTTTCTCTATGCATGCGTCTTGTGTGTCTTACCTGAGTTCGTACATCCCCTATAATAGGTGAGTGTGTATTGTGTGTTAGTGGGGTGTGCAGGGGTAAAGTCAGGGGGGGGGGCAAGAAAAGGGGGGCAGGGTAGGGGTCGGGGGTTGTCTTACAGAGATGGACAGGGGGCTCCTGGGTGGGGCCTGTCTGGAGTGGGGCCTGTCAGGGTGGGCCGGACAGCCCTATGGAAACATGGGAGAAAGACAAGCTGGTGCGTTAGACTGAGCAGAGGCGGAAGAGGAGGAGGTGGACGTGGAGGTGGAGGTGGAGGTGGAAGTGATAGGGTGGGGTGTGTGTCTTGGAAGGCAAGGTGACTCTATAGATAATTAGAAAAAGGAAGGAGGAAGAGAAAGTGTGTAGAGAAAGGTTGACAACTCCTCCTGCGGCTGAGCGTCTCCTCGTATTCAAACCTGTTATTTCTGAGAGTGAAAACTACTTTGTTTCTGAAGCGATTTTATTCTGCCAACTTTCCAGGTTGAAGGGAGGGAACAGAAAAATGTGAGCAGCATTAAATTGAACAGAAATATTGACAAAGTGCAGCAAACACATACAGCAGCAGTCGTTCAGGCGTTTTCAGAAATGATCTGATGGAAACAAGTGTGGCACTTTGAAGTGGCATTGAATCAAAGGGGAATACCACTGAAACAGAGCTCTGAAATATTTAAACCTCTACGCCAATTATGTTGGTCTTCGACGTGAACACACAAAAGAGCTTTACAGAGAACTAAATGGAAAAGACAGAACTGTCAAAATGATCATTTTCCCCCCTTGAATTGAACAAATATCCATGGCTGGATTAACTCACAAGGGTGCCAACTGAGTCCCTGCTGATTAGTCAAACCCCCCGCTGCTCCTGGAGATCAATGTCGCCCACTCTGTACATTATCTGTATCCTTTAGTACCCAAAGAATACAGTGTCTATTATCCACCATTCAGATTGCTCTAAATTCCAGGAGAGAAAACTTAACCTGAACTAAAAAAACATGGAATTCGGTTTAAATTAAGAAAACATCGGAAAATACAGTATTGCGATATTTTGTATTGTGATACTGTATCGATTCTCAGAAACACTGTATTGATTTTGTATTGCAAACGTAAAGTGAGGACTATGATGTTCTGGTTGCATAAAAAAAGGAAACCTTTGTTTACTCACACTGCTGACAGTATTGCAGTTTATCACAATATATTGAATCGTAACCCCTGTATCGTGATATGTATGGTATCGCCAGATTCTTGCCAATACAAAGCCCTAGTTTAAATATATAAAAAAACAATACTGTTTACCCACTGATCCCATGCCTCTCATTGCATGTAGAAATGTAAATGAACATTCAAAATATTACCTCTGCTTTCCAAACTGTATATTTGAAAACTCTAAAGGTCCCTAATTATATATTTCCATATTACAGAGCTACATAAAAGTATATTTTATATATGTATACAATATAAACACAGCATATAAATCATGTGAGCATGTAAATCATAACAGCGTGAGCCAACATGAACAATACGAGGACTAAAATTGAGCAGCTAAATGGAATTCAGCCATCATTTACCCCTGTGCTCCTCCTGCTGTAGCACATCAAAATAACCAATGACTCATTTCATTTGTGTGAATATGGCGTAACATTATAAACAGTTTAGAGCTGTATTCCCCTTAGGCCATTTATTTGTCTCTGGATAATGAGCCTGCCCAACTGCTGCTGTATCAATAACCAATTATGGAACAAAGCAAAGCTAAATGGTGAGTACAGTAAGATAGGAATGCATAAAATGAGATAACATCATTAAAATAAGACACAACTAGGCAGGAAAAAAAAAAAGATTAGCAAATTAAAGCAGATGAGGAGTTTATTTTACTGTTCTGTCACGCTCCCTCTCACATCGGGCCCACAGAATACGCACAAAGACACACATATGAGCACGCCAACGTCCACCAACTTGCACTCACAAACACACATTCACGTACAAATGAACTCCACTGACCAGCACACACAAACACACACACACTAATACACATCCGTACCTTCTGCCGTCTCTTCTCCTTGCGTTTGTCCTCGGTGGCCTGCAGCATCTTCTCCTTCCACAGGTTGAAGAAGTACGAGGGGTCGGTGTAGAACTTCAGTGCGTCCTTCTTGTCGTCCCTGCACGGAGGAAAAGTGGGTGGAAGAGTAAATAAAAAGGCATAAATAATGTTTGGATACACGTGTTGCAAAGGAGGTAGGAGGGGATTTGAGGGAGGGGGGGGGGGTGGAGCAGGATGAGCAATACAAAAATTATAAAAATGTATTTTTAATAACAGGGAGGTTTGTTGGGATTCAAAAGATGATTTATGAAGCCACATGAGAAAAAACCTAAAATAAAGAGGGAGCACTAGAGAGCTGAACTGCCCCCTCACCTAGCGAGCCTTTTGCCCTGCTGAGTGTTTCTTGAAGCATATTGTTGAGCTTTCCTGTCCACATTCTAGGCTAAATGGGTATTTTCTGCTATATTAGTAGTAAAATATGATCAACTCAGAGGTTTAACCAAGATACGACAACAAGATATTACAATAACAGTCCAAACTGTTGAAGTTAATCAAAATACCTGTGTGATCCCTTCCTGGAAGGTAGAAAATAAACATCTAGAACTTACTATGACTTACGATAAAATGCTACATGTGCTCCCCTAAATCTCTACAAATAAGAGTTTTACACATATTTTGCAAGACTCTGCAAGCTAAATAGATTCTTAAACACAGTTAGGCTAAGTTACCGACCTATAGGGGCTGAGGATGTTGAGTGGAGGAGGTTTGTCACAGCGGTGGTACATCTCCACCACGGGGTTGGGGACGGAGGTCCTCGACACCACCTGCTGGTCCTGGATGGTGCTACTCTTAAAGGCCTTCCGCATGTTAATATCCTGCAGGGAGACTGGAGGGGGGAGGGGGAAACAAAAACTGTCAACAACTTGACAATTAGGCTCCAAAAGAAGTATTTGCTGTGTATCATTTACAGTGTCTGACAACATAATCCCCCCCCAAAACAGCTGTTAGGTCTCAGTTAGCGGTCATTAATGGAGTCAGGATTTGTGGGAATGAAGGCGGAGAACATGATCTCTTGTTTGTGTGTTTAATGGATGAAACACTATTAATCAGCCAGGGCACGGCTACTTAACTTCAAAGTTTTGTGCCACCAGCTTGAAAGATGAGTTAAATCAGGGAAAACTGGGCAATTTGTCATAGATTTTTATAGCAATATTTGTTGCAGGCTGAGCTTCAGTGGGTGATTTAGAGAGTTTTGATGTTTCTATAACGACATTAGGGACAATCAAGCAGTAAAAAGGAAAATGCACTTAGATTTTTCAGAGCAAAAAGAGGTATTTTCATTGGATTTACAGTAGAGGAAACAGTTATTGTGTTACTGCAGGTAGATGAAATATATAAAATCTTGTTTTACTGTATTGTATTATTAATTTCTCCAGGTCTCCCAATGCAATACTCAGCATACACAGCTCTGCATTGCATTTGTCGTCTTTCCCAGCAATGAGAAGAGAAGCATATTTTAATAAATTCAAATTACTAACAAAAGTTTTTTTTGTCTTATTAGATGAAGACAAAACTACCAGTCCTACTAGGGGAGGACTCAAAGAGCTGTGAGACAGCAGCAATCTATGTTCTATGACAGTATTTTCAAATTAACGTTTCCCTTTTTTAATGTCTACACGCTTGTTTCGGCAATATGTACAGCATTAACGCCATCGCCAATAAAGCAAATTGAATTTGAATTTGAGAGGTGGGAAACATTCATTATAATAATTTAGAGTCATACAGAGCGGGATGGAGCAGAACAGATGACCCTCAATGTCACACTGGTCTGCGTGGCTTGGACCCTGAGATTTACGGGTTTATGGATTTTGCTGAAAGGCATTCTGGGAATGTAGGAAATTGCTTATGGGAGCAGAAATACAGGAGATGAAATACTACGTGACAAAAGTTTAAACAGAAAAAAAACGTTAAATTAGAACACTGGCTGTAACTTTTCAATTTGTAGATAATTATATAAAGAACTGTTGAGGTTACAGTAACATGCATATAGGCTAACACATGATACAGACAGCTTACATACTGTATGCACTGACACACACACACATACACATAGAAGGTGATAATAGGACAGCAGGGACAGATTAGTTTTAGAGCTTGTTGCACCGGCTTAACACACACACACACACACACACACACACACACACACACACACACACTGCAGGAGCAACACAGAGGCTGTGTGTCTGGTAAAATCTCCAAATGCTTTGTGCGTTATGCAGTGTGTAGGATGGTGTGATAATACGATTTGTGTACGTATAACAGGAGTCAGTATGTGTGTGTGTGTGTGTGTGTGAGTGTGAGACAAAGTGAGAGGGTGAAAGGGAGAGTGAGAGAGAGAAAATACTCTGTGTATGTGTGTTAATCCCTTAACCCCAGAGGAGATTTAATGCTACAGTACTGCAATGCTATCCAGGATCTACCAGATGGCTAGACACGCACACACACACGCGCACACACACACACACGCGCGCGCACACACACACACACACGCGCACACACACACACACACACACACACACACACACACACACACACACACACACACACACACACACACACACAGGCAGGTTCAGCGTACATTGGCCCAGTGTATAATAGGGTCAAAGCATGTCAATGTGACATATGTTCCTACCAGTGATCTACTTGACTGCCTGTACTGTATGTACAGTGTGTGTGTGTGTTAAGTTTAACCTCTGCAAAGACTTATTCCTCAAAAACTAAAGAACGATTGTGTGTGTGTGTGTGTGTGTGTGTGTGTGTGTGTGTGTGCAGAGATTCTGCAGTCAAAGCACTCCTCCTGTCTGCTCGGTGTTTGATCATTCCTTCCTAAGCTTCTGTCCCTGCGGCCAAATGAATAATCCACAAAACTAGCAGCTAATGCAACTTTCATTCAGACACATCTTCAAAGAGACCTCAAGCTCTCCCTCTCTCTCTCTTTTTTTTAAACACACACACACACACACACACACACACACACACACACACACACACACACACACACACTCACTCATCTCTCCATCTCCTCTAACTCCCCGTCTTGTGTCTCTGATTGTAACATTCCTCTCTGCCCATTTAAATGCATACAAATATGTTTGTTAGCGCCGATAAAGAGTTTGCAGTGGCCCTGACTTCCACAATAACAGTCACCTGAATGTACAGTATGTGGATTGGCTTAATAATAAATAATATTAGGTCAATAAAAAGAGAGTTGTGTTCCTTGAGGTTTGACGAATATAGCGTGATATTGCTCTGCAGCATTCCTTTCCCATGGACACAGTGTGAAAATGAGATTCTCTACATGTGAAAGTGAAACACAATGTACAATCTGCCTTTTGTCGGGCTGTACACTCACATGAACTCGTGTTAAGTTCACATCTATTTGCATTTTTGAGCAGCAGTTGGCAGAGATTAAACTCATGTAACTCAAGACGTGTAGAATACTTACATGGAAACATAATTATGGATTGAACCTTAGCTGATGGAGCACCTACTAAACATACAGTATAATATAAATATACTGTATAATATAGATATACTGTATAATATAGATATACTGTATAATATAAATATACTGTATAATATAAATATAGATGCTGTATGATATAAATATACTGTATAATTACTGTATATTACTTCAGAAGATAAAAATAAAAATACATATGTGCTTTTTAGGACGCAATCGTAGTCAGGCATGGCTTGATAAGATGTCCCCTCCTTCCTCCATTCTCCTTCCATTTCCCCCTTCCCTTATTCTTCCATTCTTGTTTTCTTTCTCCTTTCATTATTCATTCATTGTCCCTTCCCTCCTTTCTTCTTTCCTCCTTTTTCCTTTCATTGTCCCTCCCATATATTTTCTCTCTAATTGTCAGAAGGATCAGGGTCAGTGGAAAAGAGGAAGGTTTTCTTCCTTCATCTTTCCACTGACCCTTCCTCCCTTTCCTACTTCTTCCTTAAATTGTCTCTTCCTTTCCTTCTCCTTCCCTTATTCTTCCTTTGTTGTTTTCTTTCTCCTCTCCTCCCTACCTTTCATTGTACCTCCCTAGTGGTTTCCTCTCTTCTTCCTTAGACTATTTCTTCCCTTCCTTCCCTCCTTTCTCCTTCTTTTATTGCACCTTTCTTTCTTTCTTTCTTTCTTTCTTTCTTATACCAAAGTGTCACTTGCCTGCCAGTCTGGAGTAAAAAGGAAGAAAGAGGAGACGGGATCGAGAGATGAAAAAGACGGAAGAAGAAAGAAAAGATGCGACTGAGATGCGAGAGAAGGACGAGTAACAGATGACAGAGTGAATGTGAAATGAAAGACAGACGAATTTGCCTGTGCGTAGGAGGAAGTTGCATAGAGATGGACAGAGGAAGAGACAGGAGATGAAAGAGTGTGAGCGGGGGAGGCGGAGGAGGAGTGGGAGAGGAAGAGGAGGAGTGGGAGAGGAAGAGGAGCATAAGAGAGAGGACTGCTGAGCTTTTCCTTTTTCGTCCCCCGTCTCTGCTGCTCTATCTGACGCTCTCTGTCTGAGCCCGCCGTGCTGCAGAATGACTATGCAGTATCAGCACGGGGAGAGAGAGGGAGGAAGGGGAGAGACAGAAAGGGGGAGAAATAGACAGAAAGAGTGAGAGAGAAAGCAAGACATAACCAGGAAGAAGAGGGAAAACATGGAGGGAATGAAACAGAAGCAGGAGGAAGAAAGGGAGACAGTGAAATGGGGGAGGAGGCTAAGAGAAGGGGGGAGAGAAAGAGAGAAAACAGTGCACTGGAAGGAGGGAGAGAAGAAGAGGGTGTTACAGAAAGTGATAAATGGTTTGGGAAATAAAGAGAAAGGAGAGGGAGGAATGGAGGGATGGAGAGAAACGAGAAAGGCAAACAGTGGAGAGTAAAGAGAAAGGAAAGAGGGGAAGAAAAAAGGAAGGACATAGAAGGGAGAAAGAGGAAGGAAGAGAGAGATCAGATCAGAGAAAGAGGAGAAAAAGAAAGGATAACTAAAGACAAAGTAACACAGAGAGGAGAAAAGACCACTCCATTGTAGGTTTCTCACATTTGAGCTTCTGGGGCTACCGTAGTCACATCTGACCGGTGTGTGTGTGTGTGTGTGTGTGTGTGTGTGTGTGTGTGTGTGTGTGTGTGTGTGTAGGCCTATCAATTACTGCATTAGAAGAATTGACCTTCAGTGTTAGTAAAAAGCTTAATGATGGAGATAATGATTCAGACTCCCACTCTACACACACACACACACACACACACACACACACACACACACAGACAGACAGACACAGACACAGACACAGACACACACAGTGTAATAGCCTTTTAGAACTCTGTGAGTGTGTTGGTGATGGTACGTAAACACACGCATAGAAACACACAGATTTGGAGATCGTGACATAAGTATAAAGCAGATAGACTTCAAACAAGGGAACAGGTTGTTTACACACACACACACACACACACACACACACACACACACACGGAGTAATATCACAGTTGCAGAGACGTTTTATCAATAAATCATCAGCAGAGCCATTAAAATGCTGCAGGCTAGTTTGAGGGGAACACACACACACACACACACACACACACAACGATGGAAAATCCCACTGGAGCACAGTGTGTGCTCATACCGTCAAACCAGTGGTGGAATGTAACCAAGTACATTTATTTTTGTATAATGCCCTATTAAAGAATACCCTATTTTTTTTTACATATTTCAGGGTCTATACGACTAATAGGTACAAAAAGTTTTGGAATGGGTCCAGTAGATCACCTCCGAGAAACGTGCTACAATGGTTGCAACGTAATCGTTGGGGGCAAAATTTGCACGTCACAGTACGTCCGCTAAAAGGGTTTGTTTTTGCCACTGACTGTTATTATAAGAGTCTGTTAACATTATGGAGCTCTACAGTGACAGACCTTTTTGTTGAAGGGTCAGATCCCTTTTTGTTTAACCACAAACAGCCAGTCTGTTCAACGCCACCAGACTCCATTGACAAAAACTGTCATTTTACCTCGCAGGACACAGGAGTTGCTGGCTTTTTTGACGACCACTCTTTCCAGGGGTCGGACATGCTTGCAAACCCCCCAATCCAACCAAAAAAAATACGTCCCTACCTTCCTCCACAGTGGAGTCGAGCTGGGTGACTTTCACGGCCAGCTGGTCCACTCTCTCCTGCAGGCTGCTCATCCTCAGGTAGAAACTGTTGGCTTCATTAAACAGCTCTCCGAAAATGTCCTCTGCATGGCGACCTGGACGGACACAGAGACAGACACAGACACACACACACACACACACACACACACACACACACACACACACAGTTGGGTTTGATATTGTAGTTGTAATAACGTTCTTTCATCCCGGGAAAGTTAACAGAGTGAATTTACACGTTCACATTCGCCAGCTGAGCTCCGCTTCACATCTCCCCCTCCCAACGGTTTCCAGCGAGGACTTTCCCAGGTGGTTCTGTGTAACAAACCTCCTGGCCCAGTCGGGTTAGTGGCCAACAAATAAGACTGTTTGTTTGTGCTTCCAGCCATATTCAGGTTTATATCTTTAAAAAGTGTCATACAACAGCACTCTGTTCAAAATAATGGCCTTTTTTATTTGGAAATAACTCTGGAAATTGTTCTCTTGGGCAGCTGGGGCAGCAGACATAAAGGTTTGTGGGCAACACATATTATTATTATGTCTTCCACAATTCTTCCACAATTACACCCCGAATAAAAAAAAAAAAAACTGTCCAAAAATAGCCCGATAAAACCGGAGATGGATGAGAAGAGGAATTCGCTCAGATAGAGGTCAGTTGTTGCCGTTCCTTCCTCTCCCCCCCCCTCCCTCCGTCTGTCTCAGCAGGACAGGCTGCCTCCTGCCGTGCACCTGTCGGACTGAATACTTAAAAGGACGTTTCTGTCTGCGAGTCAGTGTGTGTGTGCATGCGTGTGTTGTGTGCGGCAGTGAGAGAGGCGAAATATTTAAATGCATTTACTGAGATGTACTGTAGAAACGCAGCCTCCCTCAATAACACTGCCACCTTTAAACCAAATAAAAAGCACACACACACACACACACACACACACACACACACACACACACACACACACACACACACACACACACACACACACACACACACACACCTGCTGCACGCCCTCAATGTCCCTCCTCTCTTCTCTCTCTTTCTGTCTCATTTCTCAGCCCACGACATGACAGATGGAGCAGAGGCACAGCACTCACTCATTCTCAGTGAGCTGTCGCTGAATTTAATTTAGACCCTGACTGTTAATCAAATCTGAACAGCCCTTTTTTTTTTTTTTCCCCTTCTCCCCGATATTTCCAGTGAATGATCTCTTTTTGTTGTACGTTTATGCCCTCGAAAAACAGCAACTTATGCTGTAAATATCTGCGTGGCTTTTCAGAATGAACTGCAGGGTGAACAAAAGGTAGCGGATACACTGATAATGATGCATCTGACATGCAGAGTAGTGACTCATCATATTAGGTTGTTTTTTTTACTGTCAACGTTAACAGCTGAGTCACAGTGAGCATTTCGGCAACATGTTTACTAGATTTCATAAAAGATACACCTTTTTTTAAACAGTCAGGTGTTTCAAGCTTCCTCTAATGGCGACTCCTTCCTCTCAGCACACAACTGCTGGAATACATCTAGTTAGCATGTGCAGACGTGGCCTTGTTTGCACTTAAACGCGTCTCGAGAAATCTGTTGTGGGTGTGATTGCACCTCCTTGATTACCTGGAAGGACCGCCTGGCAACGCTTTGTACGAGTTTCTTTCTCCTTTTGAGCTATGCTAGTAGCCCGGCTCTAGGTATGGGACTGTTGGTCAGTCTGAAGCAAATGTTGGCATCCTAACAGGTTGTAAATATTACATTGTGAGCACTAACATGGCTGTAGACTCGTAAGGCCTGGTCACACCAGAAAGTGGGGAAGCGAGATGAATCTGCGCATCACGTGAAATATTTTTTCTGTTTAGATGATGAGCACGTAATATTGTACAATGTTCACCATCTTAGCTATTTCTATCTTTTTACTTTAAAGCTCGCCACTGTCCGGATGGCTAGGTGCAAATTTGCGGGTCAAAGTTCACCAAAGTTAAACTTAACAAAAAAAAAAAAACGTATTTCTTATTTCGCCCACGCAGGCGAATGCACAAACTGCTGCGATTACACTGCACCAAATTGAAATCTCTGAAATTACACAGTTTTAAATGCTGTCTTTGAGCATTAGTCGAGATAAGACACGAACTTCTCATTCTCGTCTAACAAATTAATTCATTACACATGATTGTAACGAAACTACTGCGCCGTATGAGCACGAATGGAAGAGAAACGCCACTCGTATCCACATGATACTCACTCAGACTGCCCAGCTGTTTGATGATGGCCGCCAGGGTGCTGTTGGTAACACACTCCAGTTCACTGGTCACCCCATCTGGCAACGCCCCACGGCACAAGTGCCTGGGCTCGATGTTCCGCTTCACCAACGGCATTCTGGTCTACTCCTGAAGAAACGAAAGAGAGGAAAGAGAGAAGATTGGTTTATGGTGAGGCTCAGTTGTCCATCACTGCTACCTGTATCGTTTATGACTCTAAATATGCTCTGAGATACTCAAAACTGTTTCTGAGTGATGCTCTGATCTGTTCACGTGCTCTACGCTAAATTCCCTTTAGGGAAAATAAGTAAATGAACAGCTGAGTTCTGCACTGACATGAAAGAGAGAAAGAAAGAGAGAAAGCTGAGGAAAGATGGCCTGACGGAGATGGAGGTGTCATGTCCGCCGTGGGGCACAGTCGCTCATCACACCGCTTAATGTCAACGCGGCTGCGATGAGCCAAGAGCCAAATGAGCCGGAAAGAAGTTTCTAAATGGTGCTAACGAGCCGCAACCGCAGCCAGAGAAACCACGAGGGACGGAGAGAGGGAGACAAAGAGAGGAACGGCGAAGGGTCAGACGATGACAGAAAGATGGGAAGAACGAGAGGTTAAAAAAAAAAAAAGGAGTGACAGACAGCGTGAGAAGAGAAAGAGAATGTAAGAGAAAGGACTGTGTCAGTGTGTGAGTGGCCAGACCACAAGGGAAGGGCTACATATAGATCCAGCATGTCACATGATGTGAGCCCGGTGTCCTTGTGTCGGGTGAAAGAAATGCCTCAGCTATCAGAAACAAAAGAAATTTGACAAAAATTGAAAGAAGGCAGATGTAAGTACAGTGTTTAACCACATTTATCAATATAGATTTTAACACTGAAGCAAATTGTGACCTCCAGAATCAGAATCGTGGAGAATTAACACCAACCTCTGCAGCTCTCTGGCGCTTTTTAGCCACTTTTAGCACATTGTTTCGGCTTTATGGCCACCTGAAAACGTAACTATACTAACCTACCCAGAGCCAAACAGCAGACAGAGTTACAGAATGGCTGGGAAGCTAGTCAAACAGCAAGCACAGCTGTTTCTAAAATAGAGATAATTGAACAGAACGCCAAAAGGATAAAGATAATTGTTGGCCAGCAAATTTATTTAATCTTTAATCTTCCTCTAAAAGCTCCAGAATCTGCTCACTTTCGTATCCTATGATATCTGCTTCTTGGTGAGTTCATCTTTTGAGTTGACCTGCACTCTTTTGGTTAAAACTGTGTACTTTTAAGGTTCAAACGTGCAATGGTTGGGTTTAATTCTGCAATTCCTACGCTGAAGAATGAAACTGCTGGGTAGAGATATACAAAAATACACATATACAGCTGTTTCACTGATTACTTGGGAGAAATTCTAACCGATTATCAGATTACAGACCAGAAACAGGCGGTAAATGTAGACTCAGCATTAACTGTAGCCGTAGCTCGTAACGTTAACAAATTATTGTGACAGAAACAGAAAGAGAAAGTGAGAAAGAGAAGCTGAAAGCGAGTGAGAGCTACCAACGGAGCCCAACACGTGAGAGGAAACTGCTCAGCTCTTCTCAGTTTGGAGTGAACTCTCTATGTGGGACACGCTTGTTATTTTTGGGCCGCGATTTTGTGTGTGTGTGTGTGTGTGTGTGTGTGTGTGTGTGTGTGTGGGGCACGTGTCTGTGCGCCTAACAATTAAAGTATGTGTGATATTCTCGCCGCGTGCGTGTGAAAAAGCGTGCATATGTGCATGTGGGAGGTATGTGTGTTCCCAGGTCAGCCACTCTCTCACCGTCTCCCACGCTTCTCATTTAATCATTGGCACAATTAATACTTAAAACCGGGATGAGAGGAAGGAAGCTGAGACAATGGAGGTAAACAAAAACATTGCATGTATTGCCAAAATATGTGTGTGTGTGATCGTGCTAGACATGCTAACACCTAAAAGGCTGTGTGTGTGTGTGTGTGTGTGTGTGTGTGTGTGTATTCACGTGCTCCTTAATTTGTTTGTTCAGACTGAACCACACATGCCAACTTTAATAAAAAGTGACTAGATTGTCCTCTTTACGTCTCTCTCTCTCTCGCGGTCTCGTGCTCTTCCTCCCTCTAATAGCTTCTGACATTCAATTACACAAACCACCTCAGATTGCGCCGACTCGCCTTAAGAGTGTGACGGAGCTTCGCAGTGTGTGTGTGTGTGTATGTGTGTGTGTGTGTGTGTGTGAGCCAATATCCACCCCCTCCCTCCAGCTGTTGTAAATAATCTAACACTGTGGCTCTTAAATAATACATACACGCTGCTCCTCCTCCTCCATAGCCGCCTCAATAGCTGCTTCTTCATCTCTTATTTGTCTCATCTGTCCGACCCCTCCCCGCTTTTTTTCCTCGCTTTTCAGCTTATTTTCTCGCTCCATCTCTGCCTGGTTTCATTAATAAACCAGTAAGGGTGAATATCTCTTCCTCTGACTCCCCGGTGTCTAACACGGACTGGGTATTCCCCATCCGAGGGCGTTTCTGATGACTGAATGTGTGTCCACTGCGAGATAACGGAGGGATTGTGTGTGTGTGAGGGATGCAGGCCATGCATGAAATGATGTGGATGTTCCCTCTCTCTGACACAAACACACACACACGACTTCATTTTGACCCAAAGGCACTTACTCTCCTCACACAGCCCGTTTCAGGTCAGCTCCAGGGCAAAGTGGCATCAGCCCGGTGTGCTACACCCCTGATACAAAGACTGGAGACAAAGGAATGAAAGGGGGACTCGAAGAAATACCTGTTATTCTGTAATGTTTCCTGCAATTTAACAGCTAATTTAATGTTATTTTATAATTTTTTGTCTTATTTTAAAACACCAGATTTAACCAGAATACACAGTATGTTTCCCAGTCTTTCCGGGTGGTCACTATGCCAGAAAAGGGGACTTGGCGGAGACACGGGTCAGACTACAAGTTGTACACTATCATCGTTAAACAAAGATGGATCAGGGTACGAGGGGCAGATTTCCAGGTCAGGAAAGCCAACAGTACAGACGGAGACTGGGAGGTATGGTGGAAAAATACACAAAACAACAAAAACTCAAGTACTTTGTGCTCTCGGATTATTAATTTGTGCACAATTTATGACTTTCATGCCAATAGTCTTGTCTTGAGTGTACAACATGGGTCGCTTGGATCTAATACAGATTTTATTTTGACCTCAGACAGAGATATGTGAATGTCTGAACAAAAGCTGTTAAACAAAAAGCTGTCATTTTTTCAGACCCCTGAAACATTTTGGAAATTATAACGAACAAAAAAAAAACAGTGTGGATGTTGTCCAGTCATCTTCAGAGTTCTGGAGAGCTTTAAATGTCTCTTTCAAAACTTCTAGCTGACTGAATGCATTCGCTGCCCTTTGGAAGAAGGGAGGAGGCAAAACACACTGAACATGCTGAATAACTAAACCCCCAAACCTCTAGTTATATGGGTATTTAGTTGTGTTGTTGATTGCTTCAGGTCCAAATCTTGACATTTTGGTGCATAAGTACATTAATTCTTCATACTGTGATATAAATATGCATGGGGACCTCCCTTGACTGGTTATAATCCAGCTACTACAGTTAAATTTTACTATTGCAGGTGAGGTATGTGGTGGAAGCATTCATCACCAACCAGCAGTCTGTAGCCACAGTGCCACGCCCGCTATAAGGTTCTCCTGGGCACTTCTTGGCTACATTCTTTGAATTTTGCTGGGAAGGGAGGGAGCTATCAGAGGCTTTAGTTACACTTTAAATCAAATTATTAAATCAGGCACACAATGATTTGTGTCATAAAGCAAGCTCTGGATAAAAAATCTGACATGATAATCTTTCTGTTGGGGTCTTGTGAGACTACTTACATACAGAACCAGTTGTCTTCTGCAGTAAAACACACTACAAGCCTCAAGTTTTTGTTCCTGATAGTCAGTTTCATTCCCAACAACCTCTGTCTGTCAGATTGCAGCATTTATACGTTGACATTGTGTAGTCTGACCCAGACTTCAGTTACACTGAGAGGTAACACGCGTCTGAGCAGGCCTCATTTAGCATTGATCTAAATGATCGAATGTCGGCAAATCGCTGACTTTAAATACTTAAATACTTTTCCATGCCAGTTATAATAATATCTAAAAGAATTTGCACATAAAATTCCCGTACTTCAGGGCGTTGGAGACCATTTACAGCCTTCAATTTAGTCATCTTAAAGAACTTTTTGGGACCAGAGGACACACAGGGAAGGAGAAAATTAACAAGACGACAAGGCGGGGGAGAGGAGAGGAGCGAAAAGTGTGTCGTTGAGCCATGGGAACGTTGTCATGCCAACGCGCTGAGGAATCCGCTCCGCTGCTCGGAAAAGTGGAACTCGCCGCCACTCCGAAAATAGTATGAAAAGGGAGACGGAGGGGCGAAGGTAGGATGGAAAAACACTAAGACAGAGGGAGGTGAGGAAGGGTGGACATCCCTCATCTTAAAACTTTAAAGTGGGTCTCCGGAGGATTTGTTGCAGTCTGACACCTGCACTTATACAATACTGGAGAGTTTCGGGCACAGAACTGGAAATAGCAACAGAGGATCTCGTCTAACAGTTTCGGGATCTCTGAGAGGCCACTTCAGATCAAAGATTCATGACAAGATGAAATCGTTTAAGGACAGTGCAGAGAAAAGTTGCAGCCGCATGAACTTCCCCCGTCAGAGGCTGTTAAGACGTCGGCTGCTAGCGTCACGAAAGACAAGGAGGTGGAGACGGTTCAAACTAATGCGAGTGAACAGTTGGAAAAGTTAAAAGTGGATATGATAGACCAGTTTCAATCATTTTGGTTTTTCTTTGCAAGGTAGCAGCCAGTTTCAGCTCTTTCTTAAAAAGGAACAGGTTGACGTTTTAGGAAATACGATTGTTTACGTTCTTGCCAAGAGTTGGACGAGGAGATCGATATCACCACCATACCTGTCCATTAAATATGAAGCTACAGCCAGGAGACAGTTTAGCTTAGCTTGGCAATAAAACTCCGATGACTGAGCTAAAAGACAAAAATTGTTGCATCAGAGATCCAACTTGTGATCTTTTCATTACAGGATCAACTTCCTACAGCAACCA